CTCCCTCGTGGCTCAATTAAGTGGATTATTGTCTTCCTACGTAGAGAAACCGACTTGCTTGTCGGATCTAAAACCTGCCACAAGGATGTTTGAGCATAAAGCCTGTCTTGTCAACCCCCACCCCACCCCCACCCAACTGAGGGAAAGCGAACAGGCTGCGTTCAAGAGTCTGCATTCCCACCAACAAACCCACTCTTCTTCCCTTAAGACAGGGAGACAACTTGGATGAGGAAAAAATCCGTACAAACACAAACACACAAGAGATGGCCTTGAGTTAATCGCCCTTGTGGCAAACCGGGATTTGCCAATCATCCAGCTGGTTGGTGTTTATGATCTAAACCGGATTAAAAGAAAGCAGTTCCCATTTCTAAGTTGCAACAGGGAGAAAACTCCAAAACTAAGATGGAAAATCCGAGAAGATAGAATCTGATTTCCTCACATCTACTATATCTCTTTCCTTTAAAACACAACGAGGAAAACTTGTTTCCTGTTTAAGGATATAGAAACACACGCTCCAGGCTGGGAAAATATTTTTCCTGTTTCCTTGTCTCGCCTGGAGGAACATATTTCTACTTTTCCCTAGAAAATTCTTTCACCTTGCTGATTGTGGCTGGCTTTTTCTAGAATTGTCGTTCGTGTTGGGTTATGTTTTATTTTTAATTCCAGCAGGAAAAGTCAAGAGCCTTTGCTTGGAAAATTGTCAGTTTTGATCTTTCCCTTGGGACAAAATTGCGTCCGGTTTAAAGAAACGATCTTGCCAAGGATATTCCAAGACTAACAGGAGCATAATTTGGTTTTCAGAATCATTAGAGTGATTCTATCTCCTGCACCCGCTTTTTTGCAAGAATTCCAGAATATAATACTGTAATAACAACAATTAAATCATTTTGCTCATTTTCTAAGGAGGCAGAAACTAAAAAATGTAACAGAATTCAGGCTAGTTTTATAGAAAATGATGATGATATGTTAGAAATGATGACTGGTGGAAGTGGCAATGATTTTGATTGATCTCTTTACAACTGCACCCGATCAACTCTAAAGATTTTCAGGACAATTAAAAAAAATGGGATGGAGCAAAGGATTCTTATTTTCATAGCAAGTTGTCTCCAAGGATGCCCCCATCTCAACATGTCACCTTGGTCTCCTGCAGAAATGAGGTCGTGATCCCGAGGAACTCTTTGGAAAGCAAAGCAACTTGTAAGAAATGAACGGAGAAGGAGAATGGAAAGGAGAGAAGATGGGAAAGAACAGAAGGGGTGGAAAGCAGAGAAGAAGGAGAGGAGAGGATGATACGGATGAATGGTGAATGAGCAAATGAGTGGAGGAAAAGGAGAGAAAGGGGGAAAGAGGAGGAGGAGCAAGAATGAGAGGGAGGAAGAGGGGGAGGAGGAGGAGGAGGAGGAGGAGGAGGAGGAG